GTTCTCTTCGCGCAGCGTCGCGTTCTCCTCGTACAGGCGTCGCACCGCTTCCTCCAGCTTCCCGGTGCGTTGCTTCTTGCGGTCGCGCGCTGTCTGTGCCGCCATCCGGTTCTTGTACTTGCGACGTCTTAGCTTCTCCTCGGCCGTCAGATGATTCAGACGCTCGCGCTTGCGCACCCGGTGCTCATCGGAGCTACCAATACCCAGCAGTTCCTCGATCCACTGTTGATCTTGTCCCTCCTGCTGCTGCTGCTGCTCCTGTTGCCGTTGCTGCTGCTGTTGCGGTTGTTGCTGCTGCTGATGCTGTTGCTGCTGTCGCGGTAGGATAATCGGTCGTTTCTCGACACGCCGAAAACTCTGAGGAGTGCCCGAGCTGCTGATCCTCTGCTGCTGTCGCTGCTGCTGCTGCTGCTGCACCAGAGTGAGCGGCCGTGTCACTGGCCGGCATACCGGCGTCGGCCGCGACACCCGCATGGGCAGGTAGTTCGGTGTGCTCAGGATGAACACCGCCATAATCGTGCCCCTCAGAAACCCTCACAAATCACCACCAAAAACCCTAAAATCAGATGCATCCGACATACGCACCGCAAACGCCATTGAGCGACGCCTTCTCGTTCTGCCACGTCACACAGCCGTAGCGCCAAAGCTGATTGGCTGGGCGACATGCCAGGCCCCGCCCATCGGGGGGTTCTTGCTGCAGCAGATGCTAGGAATATCCAGATGACGAAACAAAGCACATAGTAATTCTCACATTCTATGGTAAGTACGGAAAGTTTTCTCGGCTCGGCTGGTGATTTGTAGTGCTTTGGCGTCCCGGCGCTTTGCTCTATCATCTGTGCCAATACCGTTTCGAGGCGCCGCTCGCTAGAACTTTGCCAGACACGCGGGGTAGCGCTGCCGAGTGCGTGGCGGCTGGATCAGGTGGTCGCGGGGGTGATGGAAGGATTGGACGTGGTTGGTAATTGTCTAGATACAGCTCAGAGGGCTCGTTTGAGGCCGGGATAACGAGAAGGAATGAAGGTGCTAGTCAGGATTTCAGGATGATAAAGGCTGACAGTGGTTGGAGATGGTGAGTACCTCGATGCGGCTCTGGAGGCATGAATTGTGGACAGGATACAAGAGGGGAAGAAGAGTGCTAGCCAGAAGTTCGAAGCAAGAACTGCAGACAGCAGTAAAGAAGAAAATAAACCACCAGGCACTACAAAGAAAAGTAAATTAAAACAGGCCTGAATTTGTGAATAAAAGGAAAAAAACAATCAAAGAATTGAAGCCTGTAGCCAAAAGCAAAAAAACAAACGCAAACAAAAACTAAACTTATACGAGTAGGATTGGTCTTACAAAAACCTGTCTCCGATACAGCAAGTGGAAGAGAAAGAAACTAACATATGATAAGGATAGTAATTCAGTGAAGTTATGAGGAGACAGCTTTCGTGAGAATATTGCACTAACTAGTTTTTTAATCCCTAGGTTCGAAAGGCGGATTAAGCGGGAAGAAGAAGATTGCGTGCGAAATCCGGGAACCGACAGCTGCTAGATCCGTTGGAGTTCTCAGACTTTGGTGTTTATGAGTGTATCCTTGTTTTCCAATTTCATGATATATTTACTTAATACAAATTCATCACCCATGCAAGACGTGCTGAAATATGAAGTAGAAATTATTAATTCATTTGAACAACTTCTAATAACAAGTTACAATTACAATTACAGAAATAGCTTCTCCTTTAACAAAAACCAACTCAGTGCAGACATTCAAAACTTACAAAAAGAATACGTAACTACGTCGGTAGATAAGCTCCCAGTAACTATGCTTTTACCTGCAAAAGATATTGCACAGAACTACTTTCCTCAGCACTTAGAATTAATTTTTTCAAAAATGCCTCAACCAACAATACTACTTATGAACTATTTGAAGAAAACAATTGTGAAATAATTACAGGACACAGGCAATTTTAAATTAAATTAGATGGTAATAACAAACTACTTCCTATTATATATGCTATACCATAATTTTATAAGTCTTCCTACAAATATCGATTTATAACTGCTGCAACACGTTCAAGTATGAAAACATTGGCTGTATTAGTTCATCGTATTTTACTATTTCTTAATTATTGTAATATTATGTATAATAAAACTAAACGTAAGATTTCAGTATTACTAATTCTACTCGTCTATTGAGTTCGCGAAATCCTGCTCTACAGCTTAAAAATTATTTGCCACAGATTTTTCAACTTT